CACAAAATGGTTTCAGAGGGCATGAAAGATGGCAGAATGCTTAGGGAGACAGAAACAAATAGTGAAAAAAGAGAAATAAGAGAGGGAAATACTTAGAGAGATGAAAAAGGGAAAAATAGGAAAGGGGCCCTTAATGTTGGAAAGCATGTATATATCTAACTTCGGGAATTGTGAAGGAGCATATCCTTTATATTAAAAAGGAGAATTAATTTGAAATAAGGGAGCCCTAAACAGGGTAAAGCTGTAATATGATGGGTTTTCTTTTTATGTAAATTAAACTAGATGTGAGGCTGCGGCATGGATCTGGAACTACTTTTATTAAGAATGTTATCAGAAGATCTTGAGAATATTGTACACTATGAAAGTAATATTATGATAGTAGCCAATATTATATACTAAAATATGTACATTAATGGTTTGAATGTTTGAAAGATGTCTGGAATTTGGGGGGACAACTAGAAAGACACTATGTAAAAAACAAATAATTGTAAGCAAACCATGTAACACGATGTTTGACAAGCACAAATCAAATGTAGATAGAGTGAAAAACTAATAAAATGTATTTTTAAAAAAACTCTGAGTATGATTCTGTAACCAACTGTGTATCCACCCAACACTTGTTCTATTCAGGCCACACCTAGTTAGCTTGCTAATCAGAATATCATGGGACACTTTGTCAAAAATTTTGCTGAAATCAAGATATATTACATCTACAGCATTCCCTCTATCAGGGAGGTTACCTGATCAAAGAGATTAGCCTCTGCAAGATTTGTTATTGACAAATCCATGTTGGCTTCTAGTTATTACTGCAGTTTTTAAGGTGCTTGCAGAGTGACTGCTTTGTAATCTGCTCCAGAATTTTCCCTGGGATTGATGTCCATCTAAGTAACCCCAGATTACATCAGAATTGAGTCTGCTCTGAAATAGTCCTAATCAGAAATTAGAAATTAATTGGAATTGATTGTCTAAATCCAGATGCTACTCCCACCTAGATTAGGCCCACTGAATCAATTAGAATTTACACAACTGCTGACTGATTACTTAGCAAGTGATTAAATAGAGGTACCCTAGTTGAGACTAGCAATTGGATTTAGCCAAATCTATGCAAATTATATAGAAAGAAAGCACAATGACAACCTAAACAAAATTATTCTTCCTGGAGTCAAAATCAACTGTTTCCATTCTTCCAGTAACTGAACATCTTTCCAAAAGAAGTCTGAGTAATTGAAACAATACATACATGGTAAATGCCCTAACAAAAAAAAGAAGAATACTGGATAAACATACAAACCCTCCATATTTTGTACTATGATGAACTTCAAATGCTACAGTATCTTTCATACAGGTGTAAATGGAATATGATGTCTTACTAAAAAATAATATATTTTAAGACCAAACATTTAACAAAGTGAAAACTTTTATAAGTCATAAAAGGTAAAAAAGAATACAAGGCCTTGCTTTGTTGTTTGGAAGGCCTTTTAAAATACAACATTTATAAAGGTCACTTTAGATAATACTGATTCAAATAGGCAGAAAACCAAATGTGTACTGTATAGCCTTCCATGCTACAGACTTGTGTAAAGTGGCCGCAATAATACTTCCAATACAGCACATTTATGTGACATGGTTAAATCCTGATTTCATTTATGTCATGTGCAAATATCCCATGGACTTCAGTTTAATCTGGCCATTATTGACACATTCTGGTATTTTATAGAAACTGGAAGCCACCTATTTATCAACCAAGAATGGCTTTAATCAATAAAATATGGTGCACATCATCAAAAGAATGTGTGGGGAGATATATGTTCAGGTGAAGACAAAGATTCCATCTGAAAACAGTCCATGTCATGTGCCAAAGATCATGCTTCTCTCAACATAGATAGGGACATCAGGAAAGAGGGCTACAGTCTCTGCCCCAGGGATTGAAACAAAAGATATGCCAGTATGCACAGATTGTTTTGAATGTTGTTATGGACTAGATTACATGAAATGTTTATTAATTTAGAGAAGACAAGGCATTTTAGATAGTTACTAATTGGTAATAATACTAGCCCTGCCTGTAACAGTGTCAATTCCTCCTAACTCATTTTCAGGAATGTTACCTGAAAGCTAAAATCCTGATGGCTGAACTGTCCTTCAGGGCAGAGCCAACACCATGATATCTATACCCCATTTACTGAAATGTCTGAGCTACTGTGTACAAAAAGGCAAATAAAAATGGGGGTGGGGGAGACACATTAAACCCAATCCCCTGTAAAATCACAGAAAAATGCTTAGCATCTACAGGAAGATAGAAACATTTTCAGTGGACTAACCACTACTGTGCTATTTCTCATAAACAGATCTGGTGGTTTCATACTTCACTTCATGCACTGGAATCAGAAATATCCATGTTTGTTCCAAACAGAGCAACTAGCTGTTCTTCATAATTTGCAATGTTCCTCTTCATAATTTCCATACAAGGTCCCAAAAGCCTTTCAAATGCCTGTACATCCATAACTTTTGTTGAGAAGGTAGCCAAAGAGAAAAAGAGAGATTGAGAGAGAAGATATATATTAAGGTTTTGGGTGGAATTAAGCCCAGCATTTATTTTGCTAAGTTCTAAATGATAATACTAAGACAGCCTTTATTTAATCACAACTACTAAAAAGGGTGGACAGAATCTAAAATAGCCATGAATGAACTCCAGTCAGTCTACTACAATTTAAGTCCTCTTCCTGCTGCGGGCTCTATGTTCCCTCAAAACTTTCAATAAAAGCCAGGAAGTTGCTCTAGTAAAAGATGAGCAGTTCTGGCCTTCAAAATGTCTCTGCACTGCAGCTCTTCACCACTGGCTATTCTGGCTATAGCGAATGGAAGCTGTAGGTCATCTGGAGAATCATGGTTGACCACTCCTGCTGTAGAGCACCATGTGAAGCCAAGTACCAGGAGTAAAAAATCAAGGCACCCCTATTTATGTCATAAACACTTAAGTGCAAAGATCTTTGGATATCATCATATTTTCCAAAAGTTTCTGGACCACTATAACAAAGGAGTCTAATACAAATGGAGGACTTGTTATTTACACTGCTTTATCTAATGTGTCGATCTCTGTAACATGTCTTTAAATAAAAGAGAAGAATTCTAATTTTCGAATCTGACTCTTTTTTCATTTTTATCCCTTTAGTGTGAATATTTTATCTTGGTTAGCTCTGTAAGTATAATTCAGCATACATTTTTGTGATTAATTAATGAACACATACACAAAACATGCAAATAATTTTAACAATAAAACTACTCTCTGAGCGACATCTCTCTCAAAGCTCGCACTGAGTCCAAATATAAACATAACAAATAAATAAATATAATAGTCTTTATGATTTCTGAGAAATGGGATAGATCCAAGCTGTAGTGCTATGTGGAAGAGAGCCACTGATATAAACGAAATTGATTTAAGTGGTAACTTAAAGGAACATCTCATTCCTTTCATAGGTATACTCTAGTTGGGACTAAAGCTAGATTCAGTCCCAAGTAGTAGGTTTACTCATACATACAATTCTACTTTCAATTAGCTCTTTAGAGAGAATAAAACACCTCTGATTTCTCCATATTGTTGTTAAGCTAATTCCTACTATATTATTAGGTGCCACATCAATAGGCACAAATTCTACCATGCTGATCAAAGTGAATGCTATACCTTTACAGCACAAGGGAATACACAGTATGGAAGAGATATCTCTACAAGCAGAAACTGGGCTTTTACCTAAATCATAAAACAAAGCAAGTATTAAAATAAAAGGACTTTCCATTACCTAAGCATTTGACTGTGCCGAGTGCAAATGCTGAGGCAGCCCGAGGTTTATTAGTTACAAGAGCAAGTTCACCAAAATACTGCCCTCTAGTGTACCGGGCAATTTCAACTGCTTCATTTTCATCTCCATCCTGTTTACCCTGGAAGATAGGGAAGAAAAAGAAAACACCCAGGCATTTACCAAAACAAAACAAGCTAAAATTAAATACAACATGATAAACAAAAGTCATTGAACTTGCGCAACATGGTCCTTACTGACCATGTCAGTACTGAAAATTTTCAAGGTTTCTCATATTTGCATTAATACAGTTTTGTACCTTTCTTTTCATCGTAATTTTCACTTCTCCAGATTCAATAATATAGAAACAGTCAGCCATGTCTCCCTATCAGAAAGACAACAAAAAGAGTTACAGAAATAGGAAAAATTTAGTTGCTTTAGTAGTTCTGGTAATAATTTAAGAAAAAATGGATAAACAATTTAGAACTGACAAAACTGATCGCTGAAATTATTCTGTACTTTAAAATTACATTGAAAAGGAACTACATTGAGACTATTTTCTTTCCATATAAACAACTGAGTAATTTCCACATTCTTACAACCAAACATATGTATGTAACACTTTGCTAGGTTTGTTCCCATGTAGTAGTGCACTGAACACATAATATGTATTTTACTTATTACTTCCTTTAATCTTCAAATATCATTTTTGGGCAAAGGAGGAAATAACAGACATCAGTGTCATAAAAGGGCAGAGGGGACTAGCAGCTTGCTAGTTTCAGCTGCCTGAAACTAATCCAGAAGGCTCTTCTTCACAGTCTTCGCTCTGAGAATTGCTGGAAATAAACCAAGAATGAACAGAAAGCTTCTCCCAGGTGCTATAAAATATTAAACAAGCACAAAATGAAAAGCAGCAGTACCTTCTCTACGCATTTCTTTGCTAACTTTTCCCAAGGTCCATGCCAAGAAAATGATAGTTTATTTTATCCATCCTGTTCAGAACAGAGAAAGAGCAAGGTTCCAAGGGCAACAGGGATGACACGGAGCACCTGCTGCAGCTAGACAGAGGAGCCGGGTTCAGACACGATGTCAAACCAGGGATCTGGAATGTGCCACCCCCTCCCCAAATGCAGTTAGGCTGAGGATCCAGAGGGCCACATATACCCCATCCCTGTACTAAGCCACAGTCTCTTTCACAGCTTGCAAAAGTTATACTCTTTCAGACTACAACTCCCAGAATCCCCCAGGCATAATGGTCATGCAGGCTGGAGGAATGTGGGAACTGTAGTCCACATGACCATGATGAATAGGAACATGTGGGTATTTTACACATATACACACTCCAAAAAAAAAAAGAGTAATGTTCCAAGATTTGGTCTCCTTTAAGAACAATTTAATAATAATTAAAACAAACCATAGTGCAGGTGTCCATGGAAAACCATGGTCAGCTCTTTGGGAAAAAAACCACATTCTTGATTTCCCCGTAAGAGATGAAGAGGAGAAGCAGCAGAGGATGCAGCGCATGTGTCAAATTAGGGCAGTATCATCTGCACAACACTAGGCTGGGAAGAAGATGAGTAACATCCAGAGACCTGGGGGTTGCACATGTCCACCCCTGGAATTTGGAATGCCACACACACCCCTGCACCCTACCTATTCAAAAGTTATATTTCTTCACCCTGGTTCCAACACCATGCCCCATCAAACCCTCTAGTTACCATTTCTTAAAATCTGCACACTCTTGCAGCATGGAGGCCGGGAGGTTCCAAAAGGGCAAAATTGTTTTTTGTTCTCACTAAAAAGCACAAGAAAACGTTTGCAGCCAGGCCCTTTATTTTAAAAGGTGGGGTGAGAAGTTTTGTGGAGGGTACAGAGCTTGCAAAGGGTCCAAAGGTACTGGAGGATGCATGCTGGTCCATGCGCATGTTCTCCTCCAGCTGCATTTTGCCAACTGCCATTAAACCTGTTGGTACAACATAAGAGCCAAAATCCAGTTGCTCAGTGTAATAAATGGCACTCGAGGGAGCCCATGGAGTCCACAGGGAACTGGAAGTGAGCTACTCCATGGGTTCCATTGATTCAAGTGGGCCTACTGTAACTATAACTTACTTTTAGTACAGAAAGATGCAATTAAAGTGGTCCCATTTCAATCAATTGGACTTCTGGAATAGCTGGCTCACCAGTTCTCCATTAATTCCATGGGCCTGCTCAAGTGCTATTTACTACACTGAACAACGAGATTTTGGCCATTAGTTGTTCTAACATAGGGACATACAAGGAGCCTCCTTGAAGACTGGAAAAGGTGTGCCTGGGTGACTGGAAGACTGGAAAAGGTGTGCGGCCACCCAATCATTCATTTTCAGATGCACTCTGTTGTAAACTTGCTGATGAGCAAAATGACCTTTTCAGGACCACAAATGACAATAATTTCTATCTTAACATTTTAACTTGTTTTTAATTTTACCTATATTTCTATACACCCATAATTTTAAATTATGCAACATTCTGATATGAATAATGGAAAAAAAGATGGAGGAAGTAACTCACTAAATCCTCATTGATTCAGTAGATCTTCTCTACTCTACGCCACTAAGTGACAGGATTTTGACCACTGAATATAAATAACATAAGCCAAAAGATGAACCGAAATGCATTCTAATTAATAATAACATTTTAAAGATCCTTGTAACTTCCCAGAGAATCAGAGCCTTTGAAACTTGGATTGTTGAGCAACTGCTGACATGAAATAAAAAATGGAAGAAAGCAGCAACTAAAAACAGGGCTTAATTGGTTCTGTACTACAAAAACCTAGAAAGGATACAGAAAAACCAAACAGGAGGTCTGTGCAAGCCATTGCTTACATAGGACATGGTTAGAATTGCTGCTTTGTATATGCAACTTCATCTAGAAGATAAGTTATCTGTTTTTAAAAAACATAGAGCAAGGCAGAGTTGCAGGATATCCATAAAATAAATCAATACAGTAAAGCAGCCTCTCCCAACAACTTGTTTAACAACTTCTTTAACCTTTGGCATTAAAATTATCTAGTATTTAACTTCCCAGAATGTCCATCTCCAAAGGATACTTTCATACAAACAGATTACACCATTTTTCAACTCCATTTTTTAGGATCAAACAGTAGGCTACTGATAGTATGTTCTCAGAAGTAGGACATTTTTTAGGGGTAAAGGTAAAGGTTCCCCTTGACAATTGTCCAGTCGTGTCCGACTCTAGGGGGCGGTGCTCATCCCCATTTCCAAGTCATAGAGCCAGCGTTTGTCCGTAGACAGTTTTCGTGGTCACGTGGCCAGCGCAACCCGACACGGAACGCCATTACCTTTCCAGCATGGTGATCACTATGTATCTACTCACATTTCTACATGCTTTCAAACTGCTAGGTTGGCAGGAGCTGGGACAAGCAACAGCAGCTCACTCCGTCACGTGGATTCGATCTTATGACTGCTGGTCTTCTGACCTTGCAGCACAGAGGCTTCTGCGGTTTAACCTGCAGCGCCACCATGTCCTTTTTAGGGGGCAAAGAGCATCTAATAGTTACAGAGTGAGTTTTTACACCACCCTACCTTGAAAATTAGCTTGTTTTGTGACTGGTCAATGAGAGGTAAAAATATGCTTCACTTGGGAGGATGATTCCTCAGCTTGATCATGTCTCTGCAACATTAATTAGCTTTCAAAGTGCTACTTGTATCATGCTGTTTGACCTTTAGTCTGAGAAGCAATTCTACCAAATGGTCTATCATCTGAATGATTTTATGAACAAAGTATATGCATATAAAGTAACATGATAACGCACACCTAATCTAAACACAAAATACATACCTGAGCAATTATTTGTTCTCCTTCTTTATATATTTTGGTGCCTATCACATCCACCACTTTCAACCGTTCAGATACCTTTAAAAAGTGAAGATGAATTATGCTAATACATCCTCCAACATTCCATACACAATGACTAAGACAAGACTGTGACACAAGTGTCCTCCCACTCCTTGAAGGCCCCATATCCTTGAAATAATGCATTACTGAAACCTTTCTCCAATTGCTATACTTTGATTCTGGAAGTCAAGGCATCCAGAAGGCAGTGCCTGCCGGTGACACTCACTCACAGGGCCATCTTCAGGCATACCAGGCCAAACCATCAATGTTTTTCTCCCTTATTAAGGGAAACTGACTTCCTTCCTCCCTCCCTTAATCTCCCCATTAGTGCATAGCACTATTTTGGGCAATATACATATAAAAACAATGAAACAGTATAATCAAACAAAGCATAATGTCAGAACTGCAATAAGCCTAAATAATCTGCTTGAACAGGAGGAGGAAAAAACTATTCTAATCCCCCTCCAAAAAAAAAAGCCTTAAAGAAAGAGCCCACACTGGGGCAACAGCATCCTCAGTGGAGAGCCCTCCCTGTCTCCAGCAATTTTCTGCAATATAGGTTTCCTCCTGGTCAGGAAAGACAGCTCAATTTGTTTGCAGGGGGAGGACAGCAGGTAGAACATAACCACAATCCAGCAATCATCCCCATTGCGGCTTCCAATGAATACCTGAACAACTGCTGCATAGATTTGGGAAAATATCCAGAATTGGTGTTTGTTTGTTTCTGGACAGTGTTTGCAGTGGGGAAGGGCAGCACTAGATTGTTGTTGGATTTATCCTTCTATATAGGGACAAACACATTGCATGTATGTGTATGTGCCTCTAAACCAGGGTCAAGAAGCATCTACCCCTAATTTTTTGAGATATAACTTCAAGAGATTCAGGACAAGTGTGTTGGGACTAGAGAAGGGGATGTTTGTATTTGTATACAAATATCTCCCCACAGGAGGAAATAATGAAGGTCTCGCCCCATGGGGTCAGACTGTCCACTCACCATTTTGCTGCCGACACGAGCTCGGCAGAGCCTTCCTATCACGCCGTTGTCCACAATGGATTAGCCACTCCTGGCAGGAGGCCAGATGACAAGCCTCTCGGCCAGGTCGCAAAGTGGCTAATCCACTGCGTAAAATGGTGCGATAGGAAGGCTCCGCCAAGCTCGCCTCAGCGGTAAAATGGTGAGTGGACCCTCATTATTTCCACCTGTGGGGGGATATTCGTATTTGTATACGAATACAAATACTCACATCTCTAGTTGGGGCCTAAAGAACAGCAATACTGGTGTACACAAGTAAGCATTAACACATTTTAAAAAGGGATTCTGTATGACAGGGGTGGTGGTTTACCAGGGACAGATCCTTGAGAGCAACAATGCCAAAACAGTTACTGCAGAGAGGCTCATACGAGGGGGTGCTGATAAGTATTGAGCCCTTCCTAGAAAAAAACTGAGCTAGGAAGCTTTAACTGCCACACCATTCTAGATATTCCCCCAGGAAGTCAATGCACTTGTGACATCTGTCCTGTAGCTTCTTAAGTCCCTGCAAATAAAATTCTTCCGAATGTTGGTGTAACCACTCATTTGCAGCATTAGTTGCCTCCAGAACACTCCCAAATTGTTGTCCCTTTAGTTTTTTGTTGTTGTTTTTTTAGTTTAGGGAATGGATAATAGTCAGAAGGAGCCAGCTCAGGAGAATAGGGTGGATGGGGCATCACTTGAAAGCCTAAGGACATCAGTTTTGCCATTGTTTCACCTGCAGTGTGTGACGAGGCGTTGTCATGCAACAGGATGACACCTTTGGAGAGCTTTCCTTGATGTTTTTCCTTGATGTTTTGCCTCAACTTTGTCAATAAAGCACAGTAATATTTTGCATTGATGGTTGAACTCTGTTGGAGGTAGTCCACCAGCAGAACTCCCTTCTTATCCCAAAAAACTGTTGCCATTTGCTTCTGCACCACCCTTTGCACTTGGAACCTCTTTGGCCTGGGGAAACCATGGTGCCTCCATTCCTTAAACTGTTCCTTTGTCTCAGGATCATAACAGTAGATCCATGTCTCATCACCAGTTAACAGTTTGCCCAGGAAATCTGACTCATTTCTTGCAAAATGTTCCAAAGCAGCCACCGATGACTCCACACGTTTCCTCTTTTGTTTGGTTGGCAAAAGTTTGGGGATCCACTTTGCTGCCAGCTTTCTCATTTCCAAGTCGCTGTGGATAATGGCACCAACTCTCTCACATGATATTCTCAGATATATCATAATACTTTTGGCTGATATTCAGCGGTCATGTCATGGATGGCTTTCACATTTGCAGGCACAGAGACAGAAACAGGCCTTCCACTGGGTTTCTCACTTTCAACACCGAAATGGCCAGTTTTAAAATTGACAACCCAACATTTAACTGTTGCATATGAAGGGCCACTGTCACCCATAGTTTGTGACATTTCATCATGGATCTGCTTTGCACCTTTCCTTTGGAGAAACAGGAACTTGATTATGGTCCTATGCTCTTCCACATAGAACTTTTCTGGAGGTGCTGCCATGTTCACTTTGGACCTGAACATGAAAGGTAAGTTAAAATCATAGGTAGCTGATTTTTGTGCCATTGAATAGAGACAACCTGGCCAATACACCCTGCAATTTATAGCTTCCTAGCTCATTTTTTTTCTGGGAAAGGCTCAATACTAATCAGCACACCCTAGTACAGTGCTATTTCAGATTTCCTTTCCCAGAACTTAGACATAGAATTCCAAACTACATTTGCAAAAAAAGGCCACTTTTTCCAGCAGAAGCAGGGACGAGGAATTTGTAGTCCCCCAGATGTTGTTAAACTACAACTTCCCCCATCCTTCACCATTGGCTGTACTTTTTTGGGGCTGATGGGAGTTGCAGTCCATCAATAGCTGAAGGGCTACAAGTTGCTCATACTTAACCTAAAAGGAAAGAAAACAACTACTGTATGCTAAAATGACTGAAACCATACTAATAAGTAGGCTTACTTCTAAAGATTTAAGGAAGGGCAGTGACTCGATAAAATTTTCATACATTTTTCTCTTTTTAGCATTGTTTTTTACAATGATCCTTCGGAATGTTACTCTGTCCTGTTTAAAAAGAGAGAGAGAGCTTATTAAATGCATAACATAGTATAAAATGCACCAATAATTTGTACAGTGATTTGTTCAACAGAAAATTGTCTATATTTTCTCATCGTTAATTAAAAAACTGTAGCCTCGTAAATACAATCATGCCTGTAGATATATTCAATTTGATTTTTAAATATGCATACTAATAGTTAATATAATATACTATACTATAATATACTATACTATAATATAATATAATAATGCAACAATCTAAACTAATACAGCAACCTGATTAGCACTGCAACATTTACAGATTTTGGCCTACAAATGTTTGCTAAAAATAAGTCAAGCTATGTCCAGTGGAACTTTTCCCAGGACAATTTGTGTAAATACTTTAGTATGAATCCACTAAGTGACTTAGCTATTTGATTTAAAAGTCTGAATTGACTAAAAAAGGGTGCCTTCAGGCCCTTCTATCAATTTGACAACAGATTGTTAAAAAATATTCTCCCTTCTTTCACAACTGAATGACTCTTGTAATATGACATCTGCTATGATACATGCAACATCTAAAAAGAAAGGAACAGAATATTCTTGCTTTACAGGTGTTGTTTTTACGCATATCCTAGTTCATGACAATTTAATTAATAGATTATTCAATCATAACTCCTAATATTAATCAATTCAAATGTCTTTAGTGAGGTTGCAGGACAACTGTTGGTCGACCCAGCACAGTCCTCTGCAGCCAGAGCCACTGGATGCTATTTTCCATAATAATAATAATTCTGTGCCATCAACTCAATTTTTACTTGTAGCTTCTTCAGAGTTTTCTAGGTAGGGAGTAGGTAGGTCAGAAATGGTTTATCCTTCCCTTCTTCTAGGGGTATATTGGGCCTGCATAGCTTGCCCCAGGGCTCATTTTTTTACTCTTCTGGGATGCACAGTGAGGAATTAAAACTCCCAACCTCTGGATCCACAGCCAGATACAGTGGTGCCTTGCTTTACGATTGCCCCGCATTACAATGAAACTGCATTACGATGATCTTTTTGCAATCGCAATTGCGATCGCAAAATGATAGTCTAAATGGTTTTTTTCGCTTTGCGAAGATTGGTTCCCTCTTCGGGAACCGATTCTTCGCAAAACAACGATTTTAAAACAGCTGATCAGCGGTTTCAAAATGGCCACCAGGTAAACAAAATGGCTCCCCACTGTTTTCTGGGATGGATTCCTCGCAAGACAGGCAGCGCAAATGGCTGCCCTATGGAGGATCTTCACTGGACTATGAATTTTGACCCCACTGGAATGCATTGAAGGGGTTTCAATGTGTTTCAATTTGTTTTTGTTTTTTTGGCTTTATGATGTTTTCACTTAACAGCGATTTTCCTGGAACGGATTATCACCGTTAAGCGAGGTACCACTGTACCTAACTTACTGAGCTATCCAGCCAACTATTTTCCTCATGCTGAGAGCAACTGCAAACACCTCATTTGAACAGGAATGCACAGAGTAACTGTACTCCATGTTAAGCTTTCATAATAGATAAAAACTACTTTGATTTGTTAGGACAAGGCTAGTTATAAAGGTAGAGAACCTACCAAACCCCACACAGCACCAGAAGAGGTAGCAATGATTGTAGCTGCTCTGGGTGTATTGTACATTAAAGCCAGTTCACCAAAGCTCCCACGGTTGTCATAGGTTCCAACGCATCTTCCAACACCATCACATTTCACATAGATATCGTATGTCCCTCTGTAAAACATACAGGTGGTATGAAGACTGGACATGCCAGCCTTTAAAATATGCAGCATCTATACATTTACAACAAAATTACTTTTATGCCTTTTTCATCAAAAATGCATTCCATAACTACCAAGTTTTCTTAAAAACAAACATAGATCAAAATTCACATTTATTTATTTAATTAATCAATCAAACGAACAAACAAACAAACAAACAATTGCCCACTTGGCAGTATTTTCCATGTTTGCACTATCAACATTCCTCCTAAGCATGCCCTCACTGTTTTCACTGTATTCTGCAGCTGCAGAAGGGATGACGGCATGCAGAAGATCCAAAGTATTCCTAGCAGAACAGAGATCTGAAGGCAGCCTACATCTAAAATTAACCATGTATTATTCACTGTACTATAGTGACTGAAAGATTCCAAGTTGCTCGTTAATCAATTTAGTTCACAGTTGAGAAAAGTAATCGCATTCTACTCTGCCATCCACAGCTATATGCTTCACAGTGTAAATAAAACCACAGAGGAAATAAATTGTGGCTCCCCACAAGATCATCCACAGTGTCGCATTTCCAGTTACTATGTTGAAATGTGAAAGCTGAACAGTGAAGAAAGCTGAGTGTGTGTGTGTGGAATGACTCATTAGAAACATGTGCTGGACAAGAGCTTTGCAGATACCATGGATTGCCAGAAAGATGCATTGGGCCATGATCAAATCAAGCTTCCCTAGAAGCAAAAATTATGAAATTAACCTGTCATACTTCGGGCACATCATTTACATTTTTTGGAACTCAAGTGATAACTTTACCTTAGTTTGTTGTATGTGGATTTTACTATTTGTGCTGAATTATTGTAAATGTTACATATTGTTTTAAAATAATGTTTCAGCTGTTTTACTCACTTTAGCCACTCTAAGATCTCCAGATGGTAGGAAGAATGGAAATATTTTAATTAAGAAAATCAAATAAATATAGCTGACAGCAGTCAGTGGGGACATTTCTAATGTTCTACCATCCAGGTTTGCTACTGAGTGTACTTTTTACAGTGGTGCCTCGACTTATGACTGTACTGACATATGACCATTTCGAGTTGCGACCAGCTCTGGCTGCAAAATTTTGCTTCAACTTGCAGCCGGAGCTTTGAGTTGCAATCAAATGAGGCAGGGGGAAAAAGCGGGGAATTCAAATTAGAAGCCTAACTGTTGGCTGGCGAAGAGCTTCTTTGTAGCTCTTTCACCCCAACGGCTAGAGTGTGTGCGTCGGAGGAGGTTTCGGACTGCCTGGTGCTGCTTTCTGGTTCTGAGTAAGTACATTTACAGGGTTTTGCAGGGTGGGTTTGGGCTGGGGGGGTTATGTTTCTGTGCTGTGATTTTTGTGTGTTTTGGTGTGTTTATTTTTTCAGACCCAGTGCCTTCTGATGGGGCTTGCTGTGTTGTTTATTTTTGGTGTTTTTTAAAAGCCCCAGCACCTTCCAATCGGGCTTGTTGTGTGCTTTATTTTTTGTGTTTATCTTTGGTTTTGGTTTTTTAAAGCCCCAGCGCCTTCCAATGGGGCTTGCTGTGTGCTTTATTTTTGGTTTTTTTAAAGCCCCAGCACCTTCTGATGGGCCTTGCTATGTGCTTTATTTTTGGTTTGTTTATTTTTTTAAAAACCCAGTGCCTTCCAATGGGGTTTGCTGTGTGGTTTTGTGGTTTTTTTGGTAATTGTTTTTTGCTGGGACAGATTAATTGCCTTCCAATGCATTTCAATGGGAAATAGTGCTTCAACTTATGACCATTTTGAGTTACGTCCATCTTCTGGAATGGATTATGGTCGTAAGTCAAGGCACCACTGTACATACTTAGTTACCATAATTAATGATATGCAGCAATCCTAAGTAAAAGGTGACAAAATTCCACTGATCTACAGGCACAATCTAGAGAATATGCTATTGAAGGTAATGACCAGAATCCTGTTAATTATGCCTACTCGTATAACTCCATCAGTGTAACTTTCAGCAGCAAATTATTGCAAGTATGGGCATTTCATATTACACAACAGTTATATGCTTATATTGATTTCTTGAGGCAATTTGTTACACTGATGAATTTACACCAGAATAAATATGCAATAGGATTCTGGTCAATGACTCTTCAATGATTAACAGCATACTTAGTTCATTGGATTAGATCCAATATGTTTTTCAAATAGAATACTTACTTTCTATTTAATTAATAGAGTAGATTCTCTCCAATACAATCTTCCAACGTCATTCTATCTACACCATGACTACTACATATAAATAACCTACCGATCAATTACATAGAAGTTGTCACCATCATCACCTTGATCAATAACGTGCTCCCCTCCTTCAACCAGTTTTTCAAACATGGCATCTAATACCTGAGACATCTGTTCCTGTAAATGAAAAAATATATAGCAGCAAATGGCTAACAGTAACTCTCAAATGCAAGCTGCTTAGCACTAATGAACTTGATCTTTGTTTGCCTGTTTTAAATGAGTGCTAACTGTGACATAATATCTTTAGAAGCTAGAATCATGATTAACCTGAGTTAACATTTAACCAGGTTTTGGGACTGTTTCACCAACCCTACTTAAAGTAATAATTCATTGGCCCAGTATCAAGATGGAACAAGGTCCTATCACAGATGTTTATATCCAACCCCAGAAGTAAACTCTGGACATTCTTCTGGTCAACTGCTGGCAGCAGCCCTTTAATGACCCTAAAACCTACTCTCGAGAGTTTCCTAGCCCATCAGTGTAGTTTTTGGGGTACACAAGGTGCTGCAGTGGAAAGATGCATAGACATCCTGATTCATCTGTTCCTCTAATGGAAATCTAATGCTGGATTCTGCCCCACATATTCCAAGACATGAGTGGCAGGGTTTTCAATGACATACAACAATACTAATTTTTAAAGGTTTACAAATTAATTAAGTTTGTCTGCATCAAACTGTCTATTAAACTCCAAAATATATCTCCAGCTGGATTATACAACTACAGAAGAGTAATACAAACAAACTTTCTGAGAAAAAAGACAACAGTACTGCCAATCACCAACATATAACTAGTGTGCTTGGCTTGTTTTTTCTTGACCACAGCAAACTTTAGGTCCACAAGGTCACCAGTGGCTCCTGTGATCTCTCAAAAGAGGTGGAATGTCAGTCATCAATAGCCATACCTCAAGCAATAAATGAAAACAGTAAACAGTAAAAGAAAGTGCATGAGATAGGAGGCTCATATGGGAATTTCCAACACATACAGAAAAAAGAATGGCTCAAATCATCCTGGTATTTATGTGCATGCATGAAGAATTGTGGGAGTTATTGTGGCTAACTGTAGCTAACCAACAAGGTGCCAGGCATGTGCTGAGTGCCTGACTAACATACAAATAATCCCTGCAACAACTTTGATGACTCCTCTTGCATGCACATAAATACCAGGATTATTTGAACCATCCAATTTTATTATAGCCAATGTATTTGCAAGGTGAGATGTTAAGGCGGAAACAAACAAATGCTTTTCTAAGTAGTGCAAACAACTTCAATAGTAGAGCCTGCTACAAAAATGTTGCTTTCATTATGTGCCACCACGTTGCTTCCAAATTATGGCAATCCTAATAGGGTCTTCATTCAGAACCATGGCTTCAACATTTAATCTTCCCCAAGGTATATGGATCTCAGCTTACAGCCAGCTTTGTCCTCTGCTTTTAGTCACTGCTGCTTAGTTTCCATAGTTCTTGGGATATCTTTTCTCTCAGCCTTCCAATGTTGCCAGCGGAACTCTTGCTTCCTTTTCCAATCAATGTGAGCATTCAGTACCTACCAAACCAACCTTTCAGTCTCTTTGAAAACTCTTACAAATTATCTCCATTCTATGTTGCCTTTTCTCATAAACCCAACATTTCCATTTTTTAAATGTTCCAAAATCTTGCATCAGTTTTAAGTAACAGATGCCAGAGGCTTCATCATCATGGTCGCTGGAACAAAATCCCTTAGCATGTCTCAGTATAGATGATGCTTTGATTTGATCTTATGCAAACAGAGTGCACGATGAAGCAAAATGGTTCTAACTAATCCAGAATTCACCACTTGCCTCCTTTCTAAGAAAGATTTTTCACTAAAAGAAATTGTTGGACTACTTGTTAAAGATTAAATTTTATTTAATCTGAAAAAAGGAGAAGGTAATTACATTCAAGGTTTTTGTAATGAAATGTTTATAAAGAACCCAATCTCAGACAGCCATATTTCAAAATGCTGCAGCATATTGCATGAAGCAAAAAGAAAATCCTCTCCTGCAATCTATATAAAACCATCCAAGCAGCAAGAAATGCTGTTAAATACAGTGCTGTAGAACAGAAGTGCTACTAATCAATATCTCTGAATGTGTGTTTCACTTAATGATGATATACTTCCGAAGTCTGGCAGTCAGGACTATAATTATGAGAAAAACCAAAGATAATGTCACTTTCTACAGATTGTTATACAAATGCACCCCGTGCCAAATTTCCATTGCAAACAGAAATCTCATGTTGAAAATTAAAGCCAGGGGAGATACACTTGCTCAGTACATCCACCTGATGCTAATTTGATAGTCCACCTGCAGACTAAAAGGTATTGAGGCAGATGTGGAGGAGTTATGGCTTTTCCACACCATCCACCCTAGATCAACAGGAGAAGGTTTTGGTTCAAGGAAAGATAATTGATCCTCTTGGCTGCTTCTGAAAAAAATCATTAATTAAATTGGATTTACCTCCAACCAAGAAAGATAGACAACTATATTTCCCCTCCCCACTAATAATCCTCTTCCCTCCCAATACCTCAAACATCTCTGAGAGTCCCTAATCAGAAGCTGTAATAGAGATACATGCCATTCAGAGGGCTAGGTTTCTACAATTACAACACATTGAATGTGTGTCAAGGTCAGCCCAATAGTTAAATGCATGCTCCAAAGACAGGGTGTGAATTTAACCATGTATTTGCTATCCATTAGTGCTCTTGGTGGACTCAATGTCTGCATTATAAAATCGATTTCAATGGTCCACATACTAGGCCTTCAATAACAAGACCAGCAACACATGCAACTATGTTTTGAATATTAAATTCCTTATCTCTACTTGGGTCTATTTCTTCAGTGCTTTGTGACAGACCTCCCCAACTCACGGCCCTCCAGATATTTGGACTTCAGCTCCCATAATTCCAGCAATTTTAGCTGGGGCTTATGGGAACTGCAGCTCAAGACATCTAGGGCACCTGATTTGAGAAGGCTGCTTCTGAATAATACTCCACAACCCCAATTCTACTGCACATATACACAGTGTCTTGAACACTGAGCTCTGTTAAAAGAGCAGCAATTGTGATGATCAGCAACCCTGCACTGCTTTGTTCTTGAATAGAAGATGCAGTTTTACAATGTATATTAAAGCAACACACTGCTTCATCTAGTTCAATACTATCCGCAAGGACTGGCAGTTACTCTAAAAGTTTTCAGGTGGATGTCTTTCCTAGAGAAACCAGGACTCAAACTTGGGGCTGTTTTCCATAAAACACATACATTTTATTACAGAGCTATGCCACTTCTCCACATGAATCTGTCAAAGATTAATGTCTCATGAGTTACTGGTATCACCATATCAAAAATTATCTTACCGGATCTAGGTTCTTAAACAGGAGAATATCTTTGCAAGCTTCTTGCAGTCTGTTTCTTTGATCATCTGTTTTGGGGTGAATAACCTGGAAGAAATCATTGCAGTTTATCAGTTCCTGACCTGCCTGAGGCTAGTCTTAAACTAAGTGATCATAGAAGGGCTGTACCCAAAGGACAATACAAGTGAACACCACAGAGACTACAATATGTTGTCATCATAACAACTGAGAACTTCAGATTTTTAAATCTCATTGTGAAGGAGAGAAGGAGCTTAGTGAGCCGTCCCCACACTTAGAGACGTCCAAAGAGGAGAAGGGAACAAAAGGGGAAGAGGTGACTGAACAGAAAGAGATATCAGTGGAGGAAAAGAAAGAGGCAGAAGAAGAAAAAGGGAAAATAGAAGTTTGTCTAGCAGAGGAAGGAGAAAAGAGGAAAGGAGGAGGAGCTAAAGGTATCAGTGTGGGAGGAGAGTATAAAAGATCGAGGGGAAAGGAGATTCAGTAATAGATTAAAGAGGGGGGCATGGTAATGAAAGAGGAGGAGGATGGGAGAGGAATAGAGTCTGCCTATGAGAGAACACGTGGGCTTCTGGAGGATTTTCCCAACTTAAAGGTCGGTGGACTGCTACTGGACCCGGAGCTGAAGAGAGAAGGAGAGACCAGGTTCAAGACTTTAGAATGGATGGCTATTGTTTTCCAGCGGGGTCGAGGGCATGGAAAGAAAGTGATCCGGCTGGATCAGACATACAATCAACCTCCAAAAAAAGGGACTGGGCTCGGCACCCATGCTGCGGCACCATATGTGTGGTGAGGAGTGCCCCTCTGCAGAACCCCACAGATTGGGAACGATTTGGTCCAGCCCCCCAGTGAGTTATCCGAACTTTCAAGAGGAGTTTTCCTTGTCAAGTTATGGACATTTGCCCAGTTTGTCTTATTTTGACCCAATAGAGGTAATTGTAGAAATAAGAAAGGTTAATAAAATTGAAGTTGTTAACATTCCAGATGGATCTCAGTTGTTATTTCCTGCCAAAACTGAGGTACTGCTCCAAGTTTCAAATGAACCCAGTCACACTCATATTTAAAATCTATAGACAAGAAACACAGAAATAAATCTTGAAATAAGACTGCTACAGTATTAGATTAGAGTCCCCAGACTATGGAATGCCCTCCCGACTGAGATTCGTCTGGCGCCGACACTGATGACATTTCGGCGCCAGGTCAAAATCGTCCTGTTCCAGAAGGCTTTTAACTGAAATAATATTAGCTGTGGGTCTGATGGCAATTTTTTATACTTTTTAATTGTATTTTAATTGTACATATCTTTATTGTATTTTAAATGCTGTAAGCCGCCCAGAGACCTTTGGGTAGTGTGGGCGGCATATAAATTAAATAAAATAAATAAATAAATAAATA